CATGGTTATTAAACCTTTTATAGGACATTTCTCTATATCAGTAGCATACTTAAAAGAATGTATGACTACCATAGATTCGTGTCATAGATTATAAAGCAATCTGAATCAATGAATCTATTAATCGTTTCAATTGTCGCACCTCTTGAGACTAACGGACAAGTAATCATGACAAACCATGGTTTTATAATTATATACAACCAAGAATTTAGAACAGCCAATTAACTTTAATTTTTGGGAAAGTTCTGAATCTGACTTAATGCTGTTGTAAGCTGAGCCAGAGCATTACGACCCATCTGACTCACGACGTGATTCAAAATACATAAACAAAAAATACCTTGAGCAACATTCAAAATTTCTAAAAAAAATACCTCTAAAACCAGATGCCTAATTCACATTTTACACACTGAAAAGACGATCTCACATTCACTAACAGATTTTTTCATTTCCGTTTTCCCTCATATCTATCTCAATGATAATTTCAAATCTGAGCCTGTTTTATCATTCAGGAGCTGTGGATTTCTCCTCAAAGCCAAGCCTTACCAATACATGTGGTAAGATACAGACCTGGCATGGATCCGAATAAATACATCATTTTTGTAAGATTGTGTGCCTTATCATCAAGAAGGCAATTTGGACTTGAAAGCATTCATACACTTGCCATCATCACTTGTAAGATCTCGAATGACAAACAGAACACTAGTGTTATTTAGTAGTGGGTATACACTGATTCTGGAATGCATCAAACCAGATTCTTGTCTTTATCTGCCTGCCACGCCCAATAGATGCGACATATTTACAGACAATGTAGACAGATTATGCATTAATGCATTTATACACAATACACTTGAAAGCTTAGTAGTTCAATCTGTACTGTCTGCCACACCTCCACCAGAGTTTATCACGGGAACATCCGCCTCTCAAGTTTTCATTATCAAATATGCGGGGTTAAAGATTTCAGATCCAGACTGGTTCATGTTTAGGACACAAACAGTCATCCAAAATGACCTGAGGTGAGGTGAAATTGGGTTTAATGTCGTGCTTGAGAATATTTCGCTCATATGACGATGTGCATGTGTGTGTATGTGCGGCTGCTTGTACTAGCCCAGACTGAAGCTGGTTTTATAGTGCTAGCCCACTGAGATACCATGCTGCAGTGAAGAATGAATACCCCACTCAGACACATTATACTGACTCCGAGCCGACCAGTCCTTGTTGTACCCATTAATGCCGAGCGTGAGGCAGGGACCAACAAGTACCATATTTTAACGTCTTTTGGCATGATGCGGCCAGGGATCGAACCCGCTCTCCGGGCAAAATGACCTAAAGAAAGGGGAATGGTTTTATGCCGCTTTCAGCAATATTGATGCACACATTCTATAATGTTATTCTGGATACACTTGATCGCATAGAAACAAACTAGCATGACTCCTTTTGACTCAATAATGATTTTTGTAAACAAAATAGAAAACAATCCTCCGGTATCTGTGCACATGAATATTGGGGGTACACTAGTTTCCCAAGAAGTTTGAATTGAGTTGGATATGGTCTTCAAAGTCACAATTATTTGCTTGAACCAGTCCAATGTACAAAAATAATCGTGACTTTTCAAACCATATGGTACACTTAATGTCGTGATGCCATTTGTCTCCAGCAAGATCTCTGCTAGACTTCAGACAGATTGTCATCTAATGGATTAAGAGGAAAGCAGCTTCATCTAATATAGGGCATTAAGAAGCTTTGGTCTTCCTTGAACTTATGTTGTTGTCAGTAAGCATTTTCTACAGCCTGTACACCATGCCCTATCATGGACAGTCCAATAAATAGCGAACGAGTTCAAAGTTGAAGATACATTGCCATTATTTCGTGATTTCCGAAAATATATTATACCAGATACAGAGAGGAAAACACAAACAGGGCTTGTACTGTTTTTTGTTTTAGCAGCATTCCAAAATGGTTGGGGGCAATGAGACGGAATTCTCACATTGTACCCCTATAGTGAATAGAACCTTGTCCTTAGTGAGATAAGAGCTCACTTCGACCTGTAAGCTACCCCTCCACACCCACTGCCCAACAAAGAAAATATAATGAGGAGATGCATATATCATCTATACCATTTTCATAAAAGGGATGACACAAACAAATATCTGTAACCAGTAACTACCAAAGGAATACATCACATTAAGATAGCAACTGTCACGATTAATGTCAAAAATTGTATCATCAAAGGCATCATTAGCAATTGGTCCTTACTCAATGCTATTGTAAAATTCATAAAGCGGATCATCATGATAACACAGCAGTGAAATAATTACAAACAAATGCAGTGGTTTACTATCAACATGGGTTTCTTAATTACACAGCTTGTACCATTCCCAAAAATATTGTTACTCTTAGTTTACCAACTCTTAGTTACTATTCACAATGTTCACCTCTCTAACATTGTCTCATAAATTGTATCAGCGAATGGAAATAGAGTTGACATGGACCTTTCGGTTGTTAATCTGTCAACGCTTCAGTAACAAAACAAGTAAATTGACTGAACAAGTGCTTGATACGATACTCCCCTTACATTGTTACAATGAACTAAAGAACAGTGTATGCTTGCCATCCTTCTGTTTAGTACTTTTTGTAAAATGACAATTAAAGAAGCTGTATCATTGTAGCCCATGAAGTGATGATAGATGCTGTAAATTCCTTACACATATCCAGAGAGTGTACTCAGTGTAGCAAGAAGCTAAATATAACAAACATACTTCATCAAAATGAGACAATCCAAGTTTTCAGCTGAGTACGACAGCTTGCAGATCCCATTATACCCCTACTGTGTTGCCCTTCTCAAATTTACACTAACTTGAATATCATAATGTTCTTCCTATACAGTAATAGTTGTTCACTGAGATTGGCAACCATGCATTGGAGATCACATAACAAACATGTATGTTGCTTTGTGATTAATTATATGTCACAAGTGTAACAAACACACTTTCTTAAACTTAGGGAACAGGCTTTCACCTGTAACTTTTAAGTCTACTTGAATCTTTGAGGAACTGATATGCCACAAGATTTAGTAATGGAGTACCTTGATAATCATGTTATTCTTTCAACATGTTGCCGATCTGAATACATCTTGTGGAAACACATCAACATCAAATGGCAGTGTCACATGTCTTAAGTGCTGACATTAGTATCTCATCATGAAGATATCTTGTTTTTATATCAATGCCCTACATTGCCTAATCAATCACATGTATTTCAGCATCGTGCATGAAGACCTTATGAGGTTCTGTACCTTTATTAGTGAGAAAGTTGACTGGAAGACTAAAGGTGTAATCCCTGCTACTGTGAGTGAGAGAGTTAAGTTTTACGCAGCTTTTAGCAATATTCTAGCAATGTCACGACATGTGACACCAGATGTGGACGTCGCACATTCTCCCCATGTGGGGAATGGAACCCAGGTTTTTGTGTGATGAATGGGTGCTTTAACCACTTGGCTACCCCACCACCCCACATCAGTGTCATAGCCAAGCATAGTGTATGTTGTTGTACTGGTATACAATGCAATATAATAGTACTTGTACCAGCACCTTTTCTGGCAGTTGAAGTAAATAAAGTATGATAAAATGGTTGTGTTTCACTTTCAAACATTCAGTGGCAATTACCTCACTCATACTTCAGAAACATTACCTATCAATGCATGCCCCAATTACTTGTAAATGTCACTCATCAGACTAAAGCCGACATTTTTCTCTCCAATAAGTGCAGTGGCTTGAATCAGCAACTTAACTTACATTACTTCCTTTACCTATATTAACAGTAAACATGTTTCATGTTGATTTTAATTGTTGGGTCAATGAATGGGCATTTCTTTTGAATAACAAAATAATTTCTCACCTGCCAAATGTCGAGCAAATGTTGAAAATGCCATTATGTCATCACATACATCGGTTAATGTCCTTCAGATATAAAGTGTACTTGTATTCCCTCATCAAGAACAATACTGCTCTTGACAAATATATCAAGTTTCATTATGAAAAGGAAAAAGCATTACCAATATTATTTGGAATCTCATCATCAATTTCAAACAGGGAAGTTCTATTCCCTGCACATTGTTTGATATCATGCAGGAAAGGGTGTGACTTGCGTAACCACCTAATTATATACATATGAATAATATGATCTACTGGTAATTTACTTATTACAACAACTAAAATAATGAAACATAACAAATCAACAATTACATGGCATCACCGTTTTTCTTCATCACTTCAGACAATTAAAATTGTATTACCAGATACCTGGAACATAAATTACACAAACACAATGTTTTCATACAAGCTTTTTGTGTCACCTCTTCCACATAAGAACCAAATGATTGTATCTTGAAACACCAGTGATACAGCTTTATATTCACAAAAACATGAAAACTAATACATAGAAATTTGCAATCAACTACCAGAAAAAAACAAAACTAAGTGTCCTTGATAATGTTACCACCAAAGACTTTCTCAAAAATGTCTGGATGTAATATTATGTTTTGTTATTTCCTGAATGTACTTTTTGAGACTACAAACAGCCACAAGTTGTTACAGCATCTTTTTAAGTAAAACTGTTTTAATGCCAACCTTATTACCTGATTATTAGTCATTATGTAGAAAATCAAAGATCCATTCCCAACCAAAATGCCTCTGGCATTATTCATGTCTTAGACATCGGAAATGTGAATCATATTATGATACACAATTTGTTGTATTTTATGTAAACACTTGATCATCAGACAACAATTTGAAGCACAAGGTATCAGCATGTCACGTATTCATAAACAAGAGTATTTTGACGATCAAAACAAAAAAGACAACTGTCAAAATGATTTCTCATACAAGATGAGCAGAGGTGTTCAAGGGATGCTAATTTAGGGTTTTTTTGCGTAATATTGACAGCAGCTTTTCCCAATTACGTAGACGCAGTTTAGCAAGGGTTATACTATTATCTACATGACTCACCTTCAATGCAAACCACATGTTCACGTATTTGTTGTTGAATCAACGGATCGGGAATCGCTTCGATCAAGTCATAAATAGCATAGATACTTGGGTGCACGCTTTCGAAGCGCTGGATTTCCTGACGAATTGCCAGCGAGTTGCTCCAATAGGACTGCATTGGGCTCCGGGCATTCATGGTTGATAACTAGGAGAGTCATTTTCTCCTATGAAAATTCATCTTAGGCCAAATGTGCATGTCAAAATCGTACGATAATAACGTTATTCCAAAGACCTTTCCACAAGATGGCTTGCTAAGATATTGACATTGCGCATGTCAGGCCGATGAAAATCTTGTACTACTTTCGCATCGCCATATTATAGCGTTGTGGATGGAAATGGTAAGACGTCTGGGAGACCCTTTCCAATGTAACGAAAACCATGATGCTTTTTTTACAATTAAGTGCACAAATATCATTATTTACGACATAAAGATAAAATGAAATTGAAAACAATATACAACGAAAAGTTATGAACATTATTTGGGGACTGGTAATTTATTATAGGGGGTCGGAAAAGTGTTCCATATATTCTGTTATTTTTGGGGAGTTTTTTATTTTTTTATTATTATTTTTTGGGGGGAGATTGTGTTGATGGGCTGTGCAATAACAAATGTCATATGAAATAGGGGCAGCTAAACAGTAGCCTGAGACAAATATCATCGCCCTACTCCATCCTATTGTGTGTATACAAAATATTAGATCGTAAAATGAAGTTATCCCGGTTGTCTGAACTAAAGATCACACGAACGCACACACACAACTTAACGTCAAACTGCGTTGTAGATGTCCCTTAGGTGAGAAAACAATTGTGACCATAAAGAGATAGATCAGTCTCTCTCTCTCTCTCTCTCTCTCTCTCTCTCTCTCTCTCTCTCTCTCTCTCTCTCTCTCTCTCTCTCTCTCTCTCTCTCTCTCTCTCTCTCTCTCTCTCTCTCTCTCTCTCCTGCTCTCTCTGTGTTTTCATTTTAATTCAGAGTGACTCTGGACAATATCATACTTAGTGCACACTGCAGAGGATTGCGTCCCTTACCTGCTCTATGATCTGATGACCGACGGTTCTCCCCGGAATCGCCTCAGATGGGATCCTCAGCTTTGTAGCTGAGTGCATGTACCCCCGCCTATTAACGGAAACACAGTGACATAAAATTTAATTCAAATCAGAAACCCATGCCCATTGGGATTCCAAGTTAGACCGGGGATCCCAAAAGATGTTAAAATATGGTACTTGTTGGTCCCTGCCTGGCGCTTGGTATTAATGGGTACAACAAGGACTGGTCGGCTCGGAGTCAGTATAATGTGTCTGAGTGGGGTATTCTTGCTTCACTGCGGCATGGTATCTCAGTGAGCTAGCACTATAAAACCAGCTTAAGTCTGGGCTAGTAAAAGCAGCCGCACATACACATACACACGCATGCACGTCGTTATATGAGCGAAATATTCTCAAGCACGACATTAAACCCAATTTCACCTCACCTCCCAAGTTAGAAAATAAGACTAATTCAAATTCTATCGTTGTAAGTCCATTTCTGGTGTCCCCTGCCTAACATTGCTGGCATAATACAAGACACTTGATATGGATGTGCAACGTCTATATTATAATAGAAGTGACTTGTATTACCCTACCAACTTCTAAATGCCTATCAAACATCTGATTGCTGGCATGTTGCCAAAACTACCTAAAACCTGACTCTCTCACGATCTTACTCTCTGACCACCCGTGAAGATCCGGGTTAGAATTGATCTCCAGTAGCCCATGCTTGTCGTAAGAATTTGCACATGTCACCGAATCCCAGTTGCGTAGATCGATCCTCATACTGTTGATCACTGGATTGTCTGGTCCAGACTCGATTATTTACAGGCCGCCGCCATATAGCTGGAATATTGTTAGGCGTGAAACTACAAACTCACTCACTCACTCACTGACCTATTGCAGCACGTCAAAGATGTCAGTCTTACCTATATTAACCATCTTTCTTTGCTACCTTTTTTTACATATTTATAAATAATTTATTATTATGTTCATAAATAAATAATTGTGAAGAACCTATATTATCAACGGCGTGCCACAGTTAGAGGAGAAGCATTTTATGTTCGATAGTGTGAAACGGGATGTTTTTTGTAAACAAAAAATGTCAACACATTGGATGTTCGGAATGAAAATGCAAAATTGCAGTGCGTGTCCGAGAGAAAATATATTCTATCGGGCCTTTATTTACCTTCCTAACCATGACGATGATAAAACGCTGAAATACTCTCAGGGCTCTTTGGAAGACGCATCTGACATAACGACTGAGTGAGTATGGTTTTGCGCCGCTTTTAGCAATATTCCAGCAATATCACGGCGGGGGACACCAGAAAAGGGCCTCACACATTGTACCTATCTCACATAATGAGGTTACTTTGTAACACTTGTGCATGTATGTAAAACCATAATATGTCGACCACGGTTTTAGGAAATTACGCTTTTGATAAACATCAGAGATAAACTAGGCATAAAAACAACAACACACACACACACACACACACACACACACTCTCTCTCTCTCTCTCTCGCTATAAATATATATTTTTCTTTTCTGCGGAAAATGACGTGCCTGTCTCTAAAACTTTTATAGTCTTACTTCAGGTATTACAGATAAAGGGTTATTTTACACATAACCTCGCAGTAAAACCAGTAAAATATGAAACCAACCACGTTTGTACTTTGTGATTCGTTTCGGCTATGCCTTATATATCGAGCTAGTCATTTTCGGTTTTTGTCGTAAAACTACGTCACAGGTTACCTGGAACATACTACATGTATCACGGTATGAATAATCGCAGAGATGGCCCCACGTTACCCCCATTGTACAGATGGAGTTTTAGGCCACAGAATTATTTATTATATCTTAGTTTCGTATGATGAAAATTCAAGTCCTGGCAACAGTATGAGATCAAAGCAGAAAATTGCATTTTGTGGTGTGTTTTTTGTTGTTGAGAATATCCCTGTGTTTGTTTTAGACCCAACCCGACTAAAGTTCGACCTGTGTCCCTTAGAGGGAACGGACGTTATGATACCGGTTATCGTCCTCTCAATCAATCTGGCGCACTAGCTGAGGGAAGCCAGCTTTTGGGAAGCGGTGTACACGAAATGTACATATTACAGCATTTAATATTTAAGTTATGATATATAACGACTGATAGTTCTAAATAAGTATGTATTAGCAGAAAAGGCACACCAGTGTATTGTATCGTCATGAAGTAACTGGGTGGTGGGATAGCCTTGTAGTTAAAGCGTTCGCTCGTCACGCCGAAAACCCGGGTTCGATTCCCCACATGGGTACAATGTATGAAGCCATTTCCAGTGTTCCCCGCCGTGTTATTGCTGGAAAACTGCTAAAATCGGGGTAAAACTAAACTCACTCACTCATGAAGTAACTTAGGCAATACTGCTATTAGATTTTGGAGAGCCATTCGTCTAAAAGGACAAAAAATAATTGTTTTCTTTTCATGAAGTCTTTTTAAAGCACGGAAGTAACTAACATAATAGAGAGGTCACAGAAAAAAAAATCACCACAAATACAAAAAAAGTAATAAGGAAATTGAAAATCTAAGAAAACGTTTTGGCCTTACCACCTCGTGAATCTTTTAATTTCCTAGTGATTCATGATATTGTTTTTTTCTTTTGTCCCCGTGTACAGCTAATAATAGCTGTGTGAATATATGTCCCTGTTAATCATCTAACGTTACCTGTCAAAAGAATTAAGACATAACGCATTTTTTGCATTTGTAATATAGAAAAAATATAGGTTGTCGTATGGTTAACAGTATATAATGTTGGCCGGGCACCTGCTCATGCGCACATTTCATTCACACTACTTCCGTGTGTTAAAGTGGGTGGGGTAATTCGAAGACGCCAGCGTGCAGTTGTACCAGTAATCCTTTTGAAAGACAAAGTGGTAAGTTTGAACAAACTACTGAAAAATACACAATGATTAGAATTAACGGTTCTTTGCCCCAGTATGTTGAATGTCAGGTGCAGTAATAGAAAGCTAGCACCAATTGAAAGGGAACTAATTCTGTAACGCTTTCAGACCCATTGATGTGAAACAAGAGTATAAATTTTAGCTAGAAATTCACGTTGTACCTTAGAATACCCATGTCATGTATATTATGAAGGTATCTTAAATATTCAGCAATATCCATAGACGTACCTAATATGTTTTGGTGTTCAGCAACACCTGCTTGTGAGAGGCGACTAACGGGATCGGGGTTTCAGGATCGCTGACTTATTGACACTGTCATCGTATCCCAGTTACGTAGATAGATGCTCATGCTGTTGATCACTGGATTGTCTGGTCCAGGCTTGATTATTTACAGACAAAATAACATTATACCACCACTGTCGACATAGGTAACTCTGTGTATTTAAAAATGAATGAATATTTGCAATTATAATGAGAGTGAGTTTAGTTTTACACCGCACTCAGCAATATCCCAGCTATATGGCGGCGGTTATAATGAGTGAAATGTAATAGTTCCATGAAAGTGCAGGTAGAATATATAAAAACATTGTGCTGAGTCAATGTTTGCAACATATACTTTTTAGTTATTTTTATGATCTATCGATCTATAGTGGTCAAAGCAATCTACTTTTGGACAACTTACTTTAAAAAATAAATTGGTACTGTACAGGTCATCCTAATTTTGGTATGAGTCCTCCCAAACTGGGCAAGGGTTCTCCAAATTTTGGCACAGGTTAACCAAATAGAGTAAGGATGCTCCAAACAGGTGCAAATTTGATGAGAATTTTAGCGTGTTAGCCATTTACGTGTGATATAAATCTCAACTGGGGTACAGACAGTTGGATAAACTCTCAGCTGTGACCTTGATCTTTGATGATGTTCACACTATCAACAACCAGCTTCTCAGAAAGGGGCTCCAGATGTCTATTGTGTAGCTACAATATTCTAAGTATGGCAATAATAACCTATTTTCCGAGTCTGATAAAGCACTCCTCCTCGGTTATGGTTGGTCGAGGGCTTACTTTCCCAACCATAACAGAGGAGGAGTGCTTTATTATACATATAAACCGTCAATGATGGATAATTAGATGATCATGTAATGAAGCTACATAACAGTAACTGAAGTGCTAGTAAGATCAATTGAATGACAGTAGGCCTATAGATAGATAATTCAACCGTCGTTCTTTCTCAGCCCGGTGGCTGTGAGGTAGAGCGTCCGCTTATGAATCTGAAATATACGGTCCCAATCCTGCTAGGGAAAACATTTGCACATTTAAGTTGATCTTTGATGATATTTTTCAATTGATTTCAAACACTAACATATCATCTGAATTTGAATGTTGATGTTAATATAGAGTTAGGAAAAAGTAAAACCTGGGAAGAGGTCTTACTTACAAAAAGTAAAACCTGGGAAGAGGTCTTACTTACGAAAAGTAAAACCTGGGAAGAGGTCATATTTACAAAAAGTAAAACCTGGGAAGAGGTCTTACTTACGAAAAGTAAAACCTTGGAGCAAACAAAAACCTGAAGTGCGGTAATTCCGGGAAAAGAAGCCATGTCTAATATATAGTGAGAAGCAGCCTTCAGGTTTATATTTCCTGTTGTTCAACATTGCACAATATGAAACACTGAAGCTATCAAATTTGCTTGAGATATAGTCAAAATAAAATTAAAGTTTGTTTTTCAGGGAAATCATGAATGTTGAGCATGAAGTAGGCCTTCTGAAGGATGAAATAAAAAGATTAGGAAGTCCAGGTAAAGATGCAGTTTATGGTTATTGGTATGACATAGTTTGATACTGGTGGAGGGCAGACACCAACTGTGGAACTCCACACATGCTTGGAACATAATGGAGTGAACCTTCCACTAGCTCTCTGGGAAGGGCGGTGGGGTAGCCTAGTGGTTAAAGTGTTCACTCGTGATGCCGAAGACCCTGGTTCGATTCCCCAGATGGGTACTATGTGTGAAGCTCATTTCTGGTGTCCACCACTGTGATATTGCTGAAAGCGGCGTAAAACCATACTCACTCACTCTAATAACATGAGACCTGAGTTTAAAGTAGCTCCCCTGGGCATCGTTCCACAAAGGTATCTTAGCACTGTGATGATCATAATTAATTAATCTTCGGCAGCCCATGATTATTGTAAGTCAGTCTCAAGAATCTCAGATCCTGACAGGATTCTTTACAGATTACCATCACATTCATATTGCAGGAACACTGAAGAGTGTGTCAAAACAACAAACAAAGACATCATTACAATTGTATTGTTTCCAACTATTTCAATAGTTAAAAAGCACCAAATCGTTGTATAAAATTGTCTACACGTCCTATTTCAGGTCCTGATGGAAATGTATGCGTTACATTTGGAGTCCTTTTCAACGATGATAGATGTGCTAATATATTTGAGGCCCTGGTTGGAACCCTCAAAGCAGCAAAGAAGAGGAAGATCATCAAATATGAAGCGGAGCTTCTGTTGCAAGGGGTTCATGACAACGTCGAGATCGTACTACTGCAAGAGTGACATTAGCACAATGTAGAAAATGTGATAGAAATATAATACTCAAAAGAAGTTAAGGACCTCTTTATTAATTGACATGACTACAGTCAATCTGTGACAATCCAGTTTTGCATAGCATAACAGATTAGCTATGAATACAAAAGAATTGGTGGTTCTTTATTTCTTTTGAGTAGTATATATACTTCCAACATTATCAGGTTCAGGTGAAATAAACGTTCCTCATATATTTTTATTTTTTTTTTTGTCATAGAGAATATTAAAGCATGCAATAAGGCTGAAGCGAGTACATGAAATACTTAAGTGATTTGTGAATGTGTTTTAACCACATTGTTTATTTCATTCTTACATTTCCAATCTTTTCAATTGAATCACTTGCTACTTTGTTATGTTGCTGACATTTTTTGTTTACAGTCTTTCTAGTTTTTGTTTGTTTTGTCTCATCATACTCGAACAAGCATGTGTTCATACTTTCAAAGTTTCTTCAACAAAGTTGTCCAGTATTATATAGGGTTCATTTTTCCCCTCTGTGCCAACTGTATGTTATTGCTTGATAGTAATTGGGATTTACCTTTCAATTAGACCTGCTTAGAGGCCAACAGCTGGCCCTATCTGCAGCAAATGCCAGTAAAAATTCCCGAAGTGAAATTAAACACTTGCCAAATCATACTGATGCATTATGACAAATGTGGTTTTGTTGACATGATATGTATTTCATTGAAAACAGCAACAAGATTTAGGAAGAGACTTAAGTGCTTAGTTCAATTAATTTTTTTTTCAAAATTAAAATTTTATAAAAATAATAGTTCTTTCTAATTTACCTGCCAAGAGCACTTACTTTGTAGTAAAATATTTTTGGAATGTTGGAGAAATAATTGGTGCTTAAAAAAACGGAGTATTTCACATTGTCTGCTATTTGTAAATCAGACAAATTTATTGATGAATCATAGGGATTGACATACCTTATCCAGAGCAAAGATTGAAATATGTCAGTGGCTAATATTGCTGTTTTATTTGCTCATAGTATTCATTGTAATCCATGTATGAAATTAAGAATTAACAGAATTTAAATGTCATGACAAATGATACTGTCATCAAGGGTGTTCATGATTGTAAACTTTTGTATGATATATCAGCTCAAAAGTGTCATGATATATCAATATGTCAATTAACATCAAAATGTTTTCTTTTTCTGTATGTATTCTGATCTCTGATGTCCATCTTTACCTTGGTGGTTTTAACAAATGCAAAGAATTCTATGGCAGCGAATTATTAATTTAGTATTGATGGAATATCAACATAATTTATTGAGATGAGACTGGTATAGAATAACATTACTAATTGTCCTACTAAACCCTTGTCACATATCAGATATTTTAGAATCCATGTATGACATATTTCATATAGATATGTTTCACAATTAATCTTTCAAAAAGAATTAAAGTGCCTTGTATTTATTTTTTTTTCAAGGTTTCCGCAGCTGTATAAGAATATATATATTTTGATCACTGTTGTGCAGTTTACGGGATAGTTTTTGTATGACAATTAGTTTTGTGCAATAAGCAAAATTTTTCTACACGTTTATGAGGATCCCGAACTGAGAAGAAACATTCAAAATAAAGGTCAACACTTGTCATTTTGAGTTGCCTTCTTCTTTGGGAATATGCAAATATTGGAATGAAGTACTTGTATGGTAATTAGATAGGATTCAATACACATTTAATTCAATTCATACACATGTATACACTTTGAGTTATCTTAAGTTAAAATTTGAAGGCAGAAAGGATCCCCAACATCCCTGCATGTCTCCATTATCAGTAAAGCACAATATGCCTCAGTACACCTCACTCAGTATTGCAGCTATATGGCAGCGGTCTGTATATAATCAAGTCTGGGCCAGACAATCCAGTGATCAACATTAGCATTGATCAACGCATTTGGGATACGAGGACATATGTCCACCAAGTCGTTTGATGTGAGTACAATTGTGAAGCCATGGTGTCCTTTGTCATGGAATATTCTAGCAATATCATGGTGGAGAGACACCAGAAATGAGCTTCACACATTGTACCTATGGGGGGAATTGAACCAGACCTTTGGTGTGATGAGCAAACGCTTTTACCACAAGGCCACCCCACTCACTGTGAACATTCCACAGAGCTATAAAGAATAACCAAATCATTTCAACTTGTATACTTATTTTATTAAAATGGATGAATTCTTCTCCCAATCTGTACAAGCCTGTGATGTTTATCTACAAGACACTAACATGCCCCTGTGAGAGAATTTACAGGTACATGCACAAATGGCAGAAACCACAAACAATTGGCACCAGGTAAAGACAACAGAAATGAAAACCTTTCACCCTTAACAACAAAACATACAGCATTAACAAGCATGGCCCAGCAGTGACAGTATACAAGATCTGCATCCTAGAGTGCTTGTGGCAGGCTATCCCAACTGGGGCAGTGTAGGGGATGCTACCTCAAGTTGGGGCATAACTGAGAAGTCAACCAATTGGATAATGGCATCCAAGAGTGAATTCATGCAGATAAATGATGTTTAAACACCTGGGTAATGGAACCATTCTATAACATGAGTGAAAAAGGGTCAATCTTCAAAATTGGGCCTCACATGTTGTACCCATATCAGGAATCAAACCTGGACTGCTGTTGTGAGTGAACACTTTACCCACTCTGCCCAAACTATTATATGAAAGATAACCAAACTTCATTGTAATCAGGACATAGCTTGCATGTCTATTGATTTTTTTACTCAGATACCATTTAAAGGAAGTTAAAGAACACTCGTTTTTTTCATACGACTATAGTTAATTTTTTATGGCTGGTAGTATTACAACACACAGCCTTCCAATTGCGGGTGTCCTTTAACTTGTTAAACAGGAAATTTCAGATTATTATTTTTTTTTGGTAAACATTCACAAACCAATTTACCCTGATTGACATCTCTGCATGTGTGTGAAATTATAAGGGATTTTTAAGCAAAACCTGCCTGGAAGGAGACATACACCAACTTAATATACCTGCAAACTGAAGATAAGAATTTAATGGGTGAAAAAAGTTTAAACTATGTCTTGGCTGTGCAAACGGCATCAGAAAGCTTGTGTTTCCCAAACTAGTACAAGACCCTGTGCCTTAAGGTCAGGTGTTGGGTCAACCCCAGAGAAAACCAGTTACATCCTTAGAAGTCAGGGGCCACTTGCACAAAGCAATAATAGTCTGTCTTCAGCCTGTGGTGGAGTATGGCTGTTAAGATCGCTTTGTGCATGTGGGCCCAGTTGTACACAACAGCGGACATACAAATGTTCACCAGACAGTGTTTCTAACATCATTCAACGTAAGCAAGTAAGGGGCAGTGAATGTTATTCTTTGAAGCTGTTGCAGTGTCTACAGGTATAGATCTACATGAGTACCTGAAGGTAATACCTCAAGGGTGTACCGCAAGGGAGGTAACCCAATGTTAGTTGTACATACATGTTTTGATTGTGATAGCAAAACCAAACCAAACCAAACTTTGTTTAGATGGACATTTTTTTTACAAAAATGAAAAAATAAACGCTTAGAGAAATACCAATGTCAGATTCTGTGGTAATTCACTGAATTGTTGCTACAGAAGTACTTAATCCGTCTTGTATTCATATGAAACGTGATATATACAATTACGATTAAATACACAGGCAAGATGAAACGAAGAAGAAAGTCTGAACTGTTGAAAAAAGGAACATTTCGAATACTTACATTATCAAAGTATTGAAATACCGAGGCTAAGATGAAACAAACATTGGTTCTTAGGCAAACACTACAAAATAGAGACAGAGATCTATCTTCAAACTTGAAATCTGTCAGAATTTCTGAATTTGTCAACTGGACAAAAATCTTCATGTGTGTTTCAGCTGCAGACAAGAGAGAAGGATTATGTTTCTGTTAGAATTAACAAGAAATCACGGTTGTGGGAAATCTGCAGAGAAAGTTAACAGTTATTTACAAAAACAATTCATGTTTCCTTAATAAAGAATATTGTTTAGATAAACACTAGCTACGTCAGATATCTTCACATAGACCATCCATAATCATGACCAGACTTATACAGACAGTAGGGCGAAATAGCATGTAGGCTGCTATCACTTATATAGCATTTACACAGGGTGCTATATCTTTTATAGCATGTACATAAGGTGCTATGGCTTACACAGCATGTAGAGAATATGAAGTTGAGGAGTATGCTGGATCAACGAATCAAATTGCAGGAGAGCATCTTTGAGTGTCTTCTCCAACACTGATCAGCCACAGGGAATATATCCAGTTTTCCACATCTGTATTGACAAAGTCTAGCTATTGGCTGACATCGTGGTTCATAGATTCTCCATATCTCCTACCTGAGATATAACATCCATAGAAAATGATTGATTCAGTGCTGTGCAGATGTACAGCATCAGAGGTTAATGATGTACAATATTAGACCGAGGAAGTTCCGATCTCCCTACAACAACAAGTAATGGACAAAGTTTGTCACAAAGCTCATGTACAAATGCCAACAAAAGGAAACCTTGTAATTACAAACGGGGACAATCTTACACAAATATGGACACAACATCCCATTACAATATGATTATGATAAACAGGACGTTACGTCCTGAAGGTGCAAAGAAAAACCTTCGTGACCATAGTTAGTGGATGGTTCAATGAGACATCAATATGTTGAATTCAAATATACCAGAAAAATAGGTATGAATGAAGAATAGAAGACACCAAGGGCGGCTACTTGGTGGGGGAAAGCTTAAACAGTTCTTCTCAAAATATATTCAATGTCAAGGTCGTAACACTAATGATCAAAGGCAACACTTACTTCAAATTATGGACCAATGTCCGACACAGATACATACACAATGAACATGGAATTAAGTCTGAATCATGCAATCTAAAATTTCCAGAAATTTGAAATTGAACAATATATTAAAACAAATTTATTATTAATACTTCAGAAAAGCAAATAACAGTAACAGTTACCATGGTTACAGATGGAACCTGAATTCAATAATATGTCCAATGTTCCATCTTTGCATGGTCTACTAGAATACAGGGCAGTACCGTTATGTGAACATTTCTCAACCAAATCACTTTATCTCACAGTTAGTTCTCGTCTGTTCTACATTATGAACTTTACACATTTTTTTCTACTTTTCCAAGTATTTCATAAAAAATATGAAATTTCAGAAAATATTTCATTTCATTTAACTAACAGCATTCACATATTTTTCTCAACTTTCCCATCCTGAATATACTCAACGCTATCTCTTACCCTGTTCACACTTAATAGACACATGTCAAAATTTTATGTTGTAATGATAATTGATTTCACACTTCATCAAGTCAAAGGAGCAAGTAACAATTACAGTCTTTACAACTTTTGCAACTGTTTTATCTAAAAAAAACTATTTTCACACCAGTAGACAATTGTAAGATATGTTGATGCTGGTAGTTCGCGATTTGATTCCATAGTCAAGCTGACACATGTCATATGCTGAGTTGCTTGCTGAACAACATTATGTCATCAATTATGTCGAGTCCTTGTCTTCTTCATCCATGAGAAATGAATATTTGTTTGTATCTGACCAGTCCTGAAAAAAAAGACAACACAAGAAATTATTTGATCAAATGAGTGGTCAATTTAATTATAAGAAAAGATTAAATTTTGGACAATGAGTATCATTACTGATTTTACAAAAACAATAGAAGAGTGACGATACAGAAATCTTGAAACAATACGATTCAATTCGATTCAATGCATATCATGATATGCAATCTTAAGTTTCCTTAAAAAAGTAAATTTTGATAGCAAATAACAGTGTAAATGTTGACATAACCGTCAATTTCTAGTGAAAATTGACAATTTTAAGGTCAAAGAGACATATCCCGATACGAAAGAAGTATCGATATATTTATTGTCAGATAAAGTATCACAATACTATGATATATCATCATCACAGATCTACAAATGTTTTATGTGTCAAAATTCTTGAATTTTTTAAATGAAAGTCACACTAAAGTATAAATTCTGAAACTAGTTTCATAAAATCAGTGTGACAAGCAATAATTATTTCTCAATACTTTCGATCTCACCAAAACAACACGACTAAGGTTGCTGTCTTCAAAAACCACAAAGATCAAACAACATCAACAACATTCAAATGGCAACATTACAAGCATTCTCCTCCCCCTGGTCAAAAAAACCTCAGCAACATTCCAGCTATATGGCAGCAGACCAGACAATCCAGTGATCAACATCATGAGCATCAATCTCTGCATTGGGATGCAATGACAAGTGTTAACCATGTCAGCGAGCCTGACCACCCGATCCTGTTAGTCGAGTCTTTTGACAAGCATGGGTTGCTGAAGATCAATTCTAACCCGGATAATCACAGGTGGAACTAAGTCCTACTTTGACTGACTGACTGAGTTTGGTTTTACACCGCTTTTAGCAATATTCCAGCAACATCACGGCGGGGGACACCAGAAATGGGCTTCACACATAGTCCTACTTTGAAGTGTTATATGACCGCAATGTTGAAATTCAGTGATTGTGATTGTGTGAGTTTGAACTTAATACCACTTTGAACAGTATTTCAAAGTTCTGTCGACGACAGCTTGATATGGGAGAAAAAGCCTGTATTGATCCAGGTCTCTGATGTTTACACATTTGGTAAAACCTTTCTACACAGACATGTTGCGAACAAACTTAGAAACATAAACAAACCAAATCTGGGATTTAAACCTCTAGGTTGTTGGTAGCACAAAAGACTTATTAACATCAACATACAGCACCTTAATTGGCGAGGCCCGAAACACAACGGGATGAAATGGTAAATGAAAATCATTTCAAAGAAGCATTTCCAACTCTGACAGGATTAGGTTGAGAAAGAGGGAAGGGAACTATGAATAAGTATATAGTATTTTAGAAATACCACAGTGTGTCAGTCAAATGTGTGAGGAATTCAAACTGATGCAGACTGGAATGTACTGAGAAGCGGAGTATGTACTTAAAAGATCATGGATAGCAACATGGACAAACACAAAGATCTAAATCCTGGTGAGACAAGGGACATAACTCTGCTCAGTTGTAGCATCTAAGACCACTGGGACCCTATGATGTTCAATATGCATATTACCCAGATTTAATAGTGTGCATTGCACTGTCATTGTGAGCTGCCAAGCCTCTTGTGACACTAGAATTTGTGCAGCACAGTAAAATATTATCATTGAGTTTCTACCTTTTTTTTAGTTTCTTCAAATTTTGGCATCTCTTCTATCGACTTTGGGATGTGCTTTTCTCGGACTCCTCTGTAACAGACATAAAAGTTACAAATTAAATGAAAGAAACTTTAAATGCTCAACAACAAGACAACAAGCACCTGTTGGTGACATCCAGTTTCCTCTAGAGCAACTACAGATTGAAGTTTTAATCCCTCAATCACTCAAGGGAGATTCACTTTGCCTGATGTCTTCAGTCTTCAGTGAATCAGCTTTTGTGAGCACTGAGATCATCTCAGCTCAATTCTTTGTGTACACACACCTCCATGTTGGCTTCCATGAAATTATTTCATTATCTTATAGTAGAAGCAGCTGTTATCAATCTCTCAACTTCCTATACAACTCTAGCGCTGATATTTGTCGGAACAGCGGAACCAATTATTGCTATACTGAATGGCTAATTGTGATCGATCTCTTGCATTACTATAATCATTTCTAAAGCAACATTTGCAAAAAATCACAAAGCAGCATTAACCATGTCAACTCAACTTAAATTTCAAAGCAGGCAAAAACAAATTTAAAAAAATATTACGTAAACAACAAAACAAATGGTGACAAGAAGGGCACCTGATTGAAATAAATATCTGAGTAAAGATTGTAGCAAAAACAAATCTGATAAATTTAAAGAAAGCAAAATCTGAAGCAATATAACAGGGCATATGCTCAGTCATTTCATGTAATTACAACACCCCATCCTCCAGTATATTCTACACAACAACTAAAGTGTGGATTTAAAAAACAAACAAATTAATGTAATTTGGAATCAATTATTAAATTACACCTGAAAATGGATCATAAAAGATGGTTGAGGAATGATCTGAGTATTTTTCATCTCTAACATGTCAAATCTCGAAAGGTTTGGAAAACAAGTTCCCTTGTCAATACATAGTTGAGTAATGCTACTCATTTTCAAATACATTATGCATTCATGTATTCATATGAATTTTAACCATTTTCCTTAGTAAACCTGAATGTTAATTACAATTCATTTTGCAATATTTGACAGAAAAAGGCTGGGCATGGTGAGTGTCACAAGAAACATGTAGTATTTTAGCAAGTGACTTGATCAATAAAAACAAATGTCATCAATCATCCATAAAAACGTACAATGCACTGGTGCAATATCTGCCCCATTGTACCAGTGCTTAAAGACAACCATTTATTTGGTGCACATGTTGTCAGTTGTGACCATCCAAATCTAAAAATACAATTTCTTTGTAAGATGACCTGAGCTTATGCCCTCCGATATTACCCCTGCAACTCAACTCTTGACATCTATATGAAAGGAAGCAGCAACAGGCTAACCAAGTATAGATTATTCTGATGAACTTGACTATTGTTCATGTCAGTCACCATGCATCAAGAACAATTATTGTGTTCATACACATGATTATAGCATTATTTGTGACATGTTTTACAGTCCATATCTCAGCTAAATCACTTCATTTTTCTTGTTGCTTAATTTCCAAACCTTATTTTAGTAAACCAATACTTATTTCATGTCACAAATGACTTTATTCATAGAACTAGTACCTAACTGAAATTTATCTATTACAGCAAACAATCAAATATATCTAGGATATTTTTTTGTTGCCATGGAAACATTCAGTGAGATGCTTCTGACCCACATCTAGACTTGGTCTACCTGTTTGAGAGTACAAAGAAAAAGAAACAGAGCACTCAGTCATGTCTACTTATCAAAGCACATGGACTGACTTTTTATCGGAGCCACGCCCCCTTTCACCACCTCGGCCCATTCCTCGACCTCGGCCACGGCCCCTCTCCGAATAACCCGGCCCTGTCAACAGAACAACAGTATTCTGAGACTTCACCCTACCTAACCTTGACCTATTCCATCTGAAGCTGACAAGTATTGACCTGTGCATCCTGTCAGATTCAACTACTGTGATCTGTACACACACAGCAGCAATATTCAATGGGCTACATCACAAATTGATTTCATATTTCTTCACGTGAAAAAAACATTTTCCCATGTGAAACATGCATTTTTAGGGTGTTTTCATGGTCTTTTCTGACAGTGAATAACAGATTCTGTGACTTTGTTACTGCACAAGAGTGAAGGAAATATTATAGAATAGTGTCAAAGCACTGTAGCTCAATATTTACATGTCAGTCTAATAATTTAGTCATGTTGATCACTCAAATGTGCTAACATGATCACACTCTAGTGTTTCTGTGAGAATGTTTCATAGAGAGACTGAAGTGACAGGGGTTCTCATCGTAAAAACCCACGACCATTGGTATGGTGAAACCCACGACCATTGGTATGGTGAGACCCACGACCACTGGTATGGTGAAACCCACAACCACTGGTATGGTGAGAGCCACAACCATTGGTATGGTGAGAGCCACAATCATTAGTATGGTGAAACCCAAAACTATTGGTTGCGTGGGTCAAGGTGCTGGAAAACAAAAATCACAATCAAATTGTGTATGGGTCAAGAAATATGGGTCAAGAAAAAGGGTGACAACTCTGCATTGCAAGCCTGCCTGATATAAGGATTTAATTCCCCTTCCAACAGAGACACAGTAAACATTAGGTGAGGTGAAATTGGGTTTAACGTCATACTTAAGAATATTTCGCTCACATGAAGTGCATGCGTGTGTATGTGTGGCTGCTTGTACCAGCCCAGACTTAAGCTGGTTTTATAGTGCTAGCCCACTGAGATACCATGCCGCAGTTAAGCATGAACACCCCACTCAGACACATTATACTGACTCCGAGCCGACCAGTCCTTGTTGTACCCATTAATGCCAAGAGCCAGACAGGGACCAACAAGTACCATATTTTAACGTCCTTTGGTATGAAGCTGCCGGGGATCGAACCCACAACCTTTCGCTCTCCGGGCAGACGCTCTAACCACTACACCATGGAAGCGGTCAGATGTAAGTTAATTTCTGTCTTCCTTTAAGGCATTGCAGCCATACTGAAAATTTGAAAGCAGTCTCCAAAACAACTCCGACAACCTCGAGTTTTCAATGAGAGACAACTGTGTACTGGCATTAGTCAGACAACGCATAATCACGAGGATCATGAATGACACAATATAACAGCTATATGAAGGGGGTTTGTAAATAATCCCTTACAATCTAGTGCTTGACATGAACATCAAACTATGTGTTTGGGATATGACATTGATGTAGAAGCCAGTAAGCTTGACCACTGACCCTGTTAGTCACCTCTGATGACAAGCATGGATTGCTCATGATCAGTTGTAACCTTGCTATTCATGGGCCCTTGGCTTAGTCACAGAATACATTCTTAACCAGTGTTTGCCACTGATATGGCAATGTCCCCCGCCGCTAAAAAATGGAATATCTATATTTACTACTTTGTATTTTGGGGTCATATACAAGATGCCTGAAATGACTGGTATCTGCATAATCACCCAATGTAGGCTGTCAACATACTTGAAAACATTGGGTGCAATGTTTTATGAGATATCGCCTTTAAAAAGCGGTCAAAGTATCGTGGTGACCTTGAAGATAAGGTCAAGGTCACCCAAAATCAACTGGTGTTTGCGTAATCCCCCAATGTATGCTGTCACCAAATTTGAAGACATTGGGTACAACAGTCCATGAGATGCCGTGTTAAGAAGAGTTGGAAAAGTGTTCAAAGTGTCGTGGTGACCTTGAAAATAAGGTCAAGGTCACCTAAATACACTGGTGTCTGTGAAATCCCCCAATGTAGGCTGTCACCAAATTTCAAGACATTGGGTACAACAGTCCATGAAATATCGCGTTAACAAGAGTTAAAAGCGTGCAAAGTGTCATGGTGACATTGAAGATAAATACACTGGTGTCTGTGAAATCCCCCAATGTAGGCTGTCACCAAATTTCAAGACATTGGGTACAACAGTCCATGAAATATCGCGTTAACAAGAGTTAAAAGCGTGCAAAGTGTCATGGTGACATTGAAGATAAGGTCAAGGTCACCAAAATAAACTGGTGTCTGTGTAATCCCCCAATGTAGGCTGTCACCAAATTTGAAGACACTGGGTACAACATTTCATGAGATATCGCGTTAAGAGTTTGAAAAGTGGTCAAAGTGTCGTGGTGACCTTGAAAATAAGGTCAAGGTCACCCAAATCGACTGGCGTCTGCGCAATCCCCCAATGTAGGCTGTCACCACATTTGAAGACATTGGGTACAACAGTTCATCAGATATCACGTTAACAAGAATCGGGACGTACGTACATACGGCCGTACGGATGGACGCCGCTGAATACATAGTCCCCTGTTCCGCATTGCGGCGGGGGACAATTATTCATGTGAAATTACTTTGGTTATAGTCCTCTAGAAATGTTCTAACAAATTTCCTTTATGGTGTGTACACAAAATATATCAATCTCTTTTGGCTCATAATCAGTATGAAGATTTTGAAAATACATCACTTTTCCACAAAGAGCAGCCTAAGGAGTGAGTGAGTTAAAATTTATCGTCACATGGCAATATTTTGCTGCCTAATGAACAGAAAATATTAACTACATATATGTTGGGGGTCAATTTGAAAATCAAACCCAACAATTTTCTGAGACAAAGACACTATTTTCATGTTTACTGTTTCTCACCTCTGTTGTCTGAGTCATTGTCCTGCCTTTTACCCCAAGCATTGTCCCGTGGGGCGTTATCTTGACGCTGTTCAGGGCGACCTTTACTCCACTGGTTAGATCCAGGAGACGTTCCCGGCTGGAAACCAAATAATCAGTAACTGACATCTCACATTTAACAATAAAATAACTTAAAATAAATAATCATACAGTTAGCTCAATTTTGGGGATCCAATGGCACCATGATATCTTGTGGAAAATATTAGAAATAATTACACATGTATAACAATGCATGTAATTATGCAGAGCATACATAATACAAAATTAGTAAAGGGAGGTAACTGCTGCAATGCACAGAGTCAACATGGCTGTAACTGAATGACGCCCAGGCAGACCAGGGACTAAAACCATGAGCAGTGATCCACACTATCAGCACAGAGCATCACTCTAAGGTCATGCACAGGTTACCATGGCTACTGGGCTCAAGTTCTAACCCAAAACCCTATTGTGAAATTAGTGGTTATGGTTATAGTAACCATGGCAACATAGATAATGTCGCCATGTCTTATGCCACTGTTAACAAATATTAAGCATAACCATGACAACTGACTGCTTGACAACACACAAATACGTGATGTGACAATTTTTCTTTTGCAACTTCTAACAACAATGCCACGTCGAATGGCATCAGGCATAGTCTTCACACAAATAGTATAGAGACAGGATTTCCTGTACCACTCTTAAATGCTTTAACCAAATGGCTAACCTCCACAAAAACATTTTAACACCGCACTCAGCAATATTCCAACTACATGTATATGGAGGCGGCCTGTAAATAATCGAGTCTGGGCCAGACAATCCAGTGATCAACAGCATGAGCCTCGATCTACACCATTGGGATATGATGACATGCTTCAACCATGTCAGCGAACCTGACCACCATAATCAAGTGACAGTGTCTGATATTTTCCAACCTTGTGGTTTGGTAGACTCACTTTTATCTGATGTCATGTGATCCCGCTTATAGAAATGATCCATAAAAGAATGATCTTATCGTCCACTTTATACCCTTCAAAGGCTGCTGGGTGAGTGCCACTTGTACCAATATTCCAGCAATATCACGGTGGGGGGACACAAGAAATGGGCTTCACACATTGTACCTTTGTGGAGAATTCAGTGGGTCTTCAGCGTGATGAGCGAACGCTTTGACGACTACGCTACTCCACCACCCCCAAAAGGCTGCTGGGAACCAAATCTAAATTGGAATCACAGGGTAAGTTCACGTTATTTGAGACTTACATCTGATGAAGTTGGTGACCTGGGTTCTGAAGATTGGGATGATGGAGACGTATGTGATGGTGGCCGTCTGGACCAAGCGTTCTCCTTAGGAGGAGGTGCATCTACCAGTTTGGATGAATCCTCTTTCTTTGGAGACGTGGCTGGCTTGGGCTCTTCCTTGTCATCATTAAAGACATCAGAATGATTGGACAGCTCACTATCACGGCGAGACCGCTGGCTTGTAACTGGAGGAGGGCCTGAAGATACATGGACAGTGTCACGGCAACCAGAGACACATTAAAGAATGTCAGGTTAAGATAGTGCCAGGAAGTCATACTTCGACAAAAATGCGCAAAGGGAGAGCAACATTTAGTGCAGCAAGATACGTCAGTGACAGATTTGACCCCAGTTGCCAAAATCTTATGTTCCAAGACATGCGATCACAAACATGATATGAATGCTATGTTTATAAACCTTGTAAAGTCAATATATATTTGCGATGATAGATATTTTGCAAATTTAATGAATTCAAGGACAACAGTTACATCTACAGGATAATTACAAACTGGTACTTGAGAAATATAGCTCAAGCATACTGAACTTACTCTTCTAAGCTTGTTACATGTTAAACCAGGACTATTCATGCAGTTAGTTATGCAGGAGTTCATTAACAAAAAACTGTTATTACTTCACAGGTTTGTATAGACATTCCCTCTCCCCTCTTAAAAGTTCACAGTTACTTCACAGTGTAGTCATCGAATCCCAATTTCGTAGATCGATGCTCATGTTGTTGATCACTGCATTGTCTTGTCCAGCCTTGATTATTTACAGACTGCCGCCATATAGCTGGAATATTGCTGAGTGCGGCGTTAAACCCAACCAAATCACAGTGTAGTCACCTATTCTTAACCAATGAAATACGCCACTGTCGCGTTCAAGCCAAAGGGAGACCATAAATTCTGAGTTTAACATGGACAGCAATATTTCTCACACAGTATGCGCCAAAGCCTTGCATCCATCTACTCTACAGTAACATATATTAAGATTGGGATTCCATTTTCTCCGTAAAGTATTAGAATATGTACTTAAGTGAAAGAGTGTAATCCTAAATTTGACATGTTAGATCTGAATAATTTCTAAATGGCATTATGTATTAAAAAGTCCTGTGTTAGGTAATGATTGGGTTTGCACATGCAGGGGTGGAAATAACCCATTGCCCGACGCCCGAGTCCAGTGGTTTTTTCTGTCAGGCAAGCAAATTTGTATATCACACTGTACCGGTGTCCAGTTGACTTTCCAATATTAATTATGTTGTTTATTTAAAACATCAACAAGAAAATGGCCGGTATAGTGGAAAAATTATCAGGGCAAGTGATTTTACATGTGCCACTGTACCGGAGTACACTAGCAATTTTAAAGTTATTTCCACCCCTGACATGCAGAGAGTTGGCCACATTTGACTTTCACAAGGCTTCGTTTCCTATGTTGCATAGAAATAAACACGTGTCACGACTACACTAAAAGTCTTGTGCCTTCATGGATAATGGAGGAACAGCATATACAAAACCTGTGAAGTGTTGCCATAGCACTAAAATCCCTAACAGTTTATCTCAAATTGTTGTAGCAGCAGTAAAATCACTAACACTTTACGTCAAAGCTCATCTCAATACCATGTATTACCAGTTGCCACCATGTTTGGTTAAAGTGTGTGAAGAGTGTAGGAATCAACATGCAAACACAGACAAGCACCAAACAATACAATTCTTTTGATATTACCGCGTCACCCATTTCGTTAACATTCGAAAATCTTTGTCAGTACTGTGTTACAAAAAATATTTCACATAAAATGAAACATCTTAGCTGAACTGTAACAAAAATCAATTCCCATACAATTTGTCTTTTTTTTCTTTAGTATAAACATTTCCAAATCAGGCAATCAAAAATGAGTCACTTTAGAAAGCAGAAATCTGATTGGCTAAAGACACGTCTCCAGTTACATTGGGCAGACCAAGAAGTAAGCTCAGATTCACATGAGAAGGGATTTTTAGCAGGTGTTATCAGATCTTCATGCAGAGTAAGTGAATGAGTATGGTTTTACTCCGCTTTTAGCAATATTCCAGCAATATCACGACGGGGGACACCAGAAATGTCATGCAGAGAAACCATTTCAGAGTACATGTTCTGAGTCAAATACGCTGCCTCTTTATAGACACATATTAGAACTACTAAAACACAGACAATATAGCATTCAGAGGTTAAACATGTACCATATATAAGGCGTTATATTGACAATATGCAGCATTCAGTGTTGAAAAACAAAACATGGTGAATAACAGTGTGAATACAAGCCCTGGGTGATACAAGCAGGTTATTATGAAGGCAGCCATTGTCTCACTGGTAGGTAGGTCACGGGTTCGCTATAGATTGTTCCAATTCTCCGAGGGAAACCAAACGTACACTCTGATAAAAAAGACCACTTGAAGAAGATAAAGCAAGAAACTGACAGAAGCACACTTAACATAGGGGAACCTGTCGAACCAGACACAGAAACCATGGCAACAGTCGCTAAGTGACCATGGTCTTCATCAACCGAAATATCTGCACGTTTTACCTTTTCCTAAATATATTAGTCCATATTTCAATTAAGTTCTTTTCATAGATCAAATTCTGAAGCATTGTTACCCCCCCAAACCCAATGTGGCCTTTTTCATTACGATATTAAGGGACCAATTAGCAGACCAAAAAATGTTTAATTGGACTTGGTTATTAGCTGAATTAAGCCAACTTTGAGTGCTGCTAATTAAGCCATAATGGGTTTTGTGAACATTTGAAATTAAACAGGATAATGTAACCTTTTTATATGACACACACACTCACCCACCGATCCATAACATTTTGACATATCGATTTCCATGACACCATTATCTTCAGTTGTCATTTTTCATGAATGCTCCCTATAGAACCAACCCAATTACCAATGATGACAAGTCCGTTTTTTGTTTCGTTCAACAGTTTGGTTTCAAGGCTGAAATGTTCTGTTTTGTTTATTCCCAATTGTTGTTGTGTTACTGGTTGACACATTCCCCTACGGCCACGAGTAGGTCTCTCTCAGGAGGTTGGAACAAACTATACCTGGTCGGACTCCTTTCCCAGAGCTGCTACTAAGACGTCTTTCACGTTTACTACCTCCATCTGAGCGGTCACTGTCTCGCCGAGTCCGATTCCCTGCAGGTCTGGAATAACAGGTAAACATCATGCATCAAGAATTGTTGTCTTTTTAAACAGTCATTTGTGTATCCATCAGCCCATTTACCATGAGTGACCAGAGCAACTTGTAAGTGAGGTGAGGTGATATGGGGTTTAACGTCGTGCTTGAGAATATTTTGCTCATATGACGACGTGCATGCGTGTGTATGTGTAGGTGCGGCTGCTTGTACTAGCCCAGACTTAAGCTGGTTTTATAGTGCTAGCCCACTGAGATACCATGCCCAGGTGAAGCATGAATACCCCACTCAGACACATTATACTGACTCCGAGCTGACCAGTCCTTGTTGTACCCATTAATTCCGAGAGCCAGGCAAGGATCAACAAAACCAATTTTAATGTCTTTTGGTGTGTCATTCATCATAAATACTTTAGTATCAGATATGATTGGTTGGTTGGTTTGTTGTTTAATGCCTCACTCAGATATATCCCAGCTATATGGCGGCGGTCTGTAATTCATCGAGTCAGGACCAGAAAAACCCAGTGATCAACAGCATGAGCATCCATCTCTCTAATTGGGATACGATGACATTTGTCAACCAGCGAATCTGACCCCTTATCCCCATTAGTCACCTCTTACCAGAAGCATGGGTATCAGATATGATCATTCAGAAGTCTTACACTCCATGGCATCCTTTTGCTTCCCATACATGTGGTCAGTACCCTTACCTTTGATGCGACCTTTTTGCTTCCCATACAGGTGGAAAATGGGTTTAACAAATAAATGCCCCTTGGAATTCTGTGAGTGAGTGAGCATGGTTTTACGCCACTTTTAGCAATATTTCAGCAATATCATGGCTGACAGCATGAATGGGCTTCACTCATTGTACCCTTGTGTGGAATCAAACCTTGGTCTTTAACGTGACTAGCGAACACTTTAACCACTAGGCTACCCCACATCAAACCTGAGCCCCAATCCGTTGGTCCTCTATCAACCAACAAAAGTAGCTCAGTTCTATCAATTAAAAGATAAAGCTACTCGTTTTCAATTTTGCGGTCCTTTAATTGAAAACAGAGTAGATTTATCTTCATTCTAGCACGACTGATAAGCTTTTTAAAACCGAACTGTTTGGCTCGCAAGAACACAAGGCGTGAAGGGGCATTTTTCCTTGAAATTGCTTGGAATCGTCCTGTTGAGGGACAGGTTGTGTAATTAACAAAATAAGACATTTTCAACAACATATATGCTTTATTTCAGGAACCAGTATGCTTGTATTTGTAGGAATTAGCATACACAAATAAAAAAAATACAGTTTATACTGTGAGCAAGTACAAGCGAATTATTGATCTCCCCTACTGTATGACAATCGACTCGCCCCAATTCAAGCCGTGAACTCGCTAAGTTTAGTTGCTGCTAACTTTATTCACGGAAATAATTGTTGATAACCACCCTGCTATTCCAAATTTGGAAAAGACCTGACATGCCACATTTTATGTGGGATACATGGACAGTGGAAGTGGAAGGACTGGGCATTATGGCCAGAAGGAAGCGGTCAGGTTAGGACGTGTGGGCCGACGCGTGTTGTTGACGTCATGCCAGCTAGATCTAGACCCGGTTTGAATATACTACCGCTTTTGCGCTGCTGACGGATTTTCCAGCATCGTAGTTTCTTCACTGGGATTAGGGTCAAGAAATTCTTCTTCAAACCATTCGCATTTTACTTCAAAAACACCAAAGATGCTACCGAGGTAGAAATTGCCGATGTCAAACATGTTTGTTTACAAACAATAGGGTCAGTGAGTTCGTTGTATTCATACGCAGTGAATCGGTCACTATAATAAGCGGTCTTAAACTGCCATTTAAGTACGGTTTTGATGAGCTCTCGGCCAATCAAAATCGAGTTTCACACCATATCGTGCTAGAATTGTTGATCGGTTCTAACAAAGAATCACAAGGGGACCTTCCAATGAATGAGTTTGGTTTAACACTGCTTTGAACATTATCTCCAAAATGTCAAAAATATCAGCTACTGAGGTGAGATGGAGGTCAGTTTCCTACCAATATGAAACCAACAAAAATGGTGCTAACAGATGAATGGACAAAATCAAGGGATTTATACCAGTGATTAGGGTCCCTGATTAGCACAATTACACCAGTGACACCCTTATTCATCTTGGAAAATCTACAACACTTCTTCAGTACTACACATTCCACAAACCCAGAGGTCTTACCTATTATCGTAATTCCTGTTCTCTTTCTCTTCATCATATCTGTGTGATATCAGCTGACGTTCACGTTGCAGGCGTTCCTCAATCTCACGCTCACGAGCAGACGTGTCCACTGGTTTTGCGGAGCCAAAAATCGAGGATTTTCTTTCCTCAGCGCCATTAGGGTCTGACGGCTTTGACCTTGGCTGCAGCTGGAGTCTGGGCCTCTCCTTGGGGGCCTCTGGGAGAAGCATTTCCAAACATGAACATCAGTTTGCCAAATCACTACTTGAGAAATATCTTGACAGACTTTTGTCCAAAAACTGTTCCACTCTCACCCTAGTTCACCTATTGATGGCAGCCATTTTTCAAATAAACGCATCTTGATTATACAATTCAATGACTGACATCATAAGCACTGACCAATGCAAACTGGGATGTAGTACGCTTGAACCTCGTCCGCTGTACTGACAACCTGATCTTGTTGGTAATCTCTTACAACACACATGGGTTGCTGAAGGCCAACATTAACACAAAATCTTAATGAGCTTCCAAACAAAAACACTGTATGTACTTGGCACTTAGTCCATTATCTGTGCCATTCCTACTTGCCACTTTTGAGAGTATATTATCTTACCTTGACTAGTTTCTCTACTGTTAGGTCGATCCCCGCTACAAAACAAAATATACAGTGAAATAACAAGCTGAGAAAGTTCAGGTGAACAATATATATACATCATTAAGATTTATGTGGCCTCGGTATTGTTGTCATGAACATAAAAAGTGAGGAAACAAATGAATTTTGCTTAATATAATTTAATTAGTATGCCTTTTCTTCATTTCAATAATTTGAAAAAACTAATAACTACTTTGACTTACAAGTTGCTTCACTCAACTTATTACCTGCATTAATAAATAAAATCATTGGTTAAGAAAATGACTTTATTTTGACCATAACTGTGTTATTTTTCAAGCATGTATTTAAAAGTACTGTTTTAAAATTACTATTTTAATAATGCCCAAACCACTACTACTCTGCTGAAGTAGATATTGTAAACTGATGAGGACCTACCCTCTCGATCCATACCTATCGCTGAATCCTCCGCCTTCCTCCCTTGATTGGAACCCGCTACCAAATCCTCGTCTACCGCCATCCCGATCAGAGAACCCACGGCTCCTGCCTCCATACCTATCCCCATCCCTATCTCCATATCGGTCACTGAACCGTCCGCCACCATCTCTATCGCCAAAAGAACGACCACCATCTCTATCGCCAAAAGAACGACCACCATCTCTATCGCCAAAAGAACGACCACCATCTCTATCGCCAAAAGAACGACCACCATCCCTGTCGCCAAAGCGTCCACCGCCACCGCCACCATCTCTGTCGCCATAACGTCCTCCATCTCTATCGCCAAAAGAACGACCACCATCTCTGTCGCCAAAAGAACGACCACCATCTCTGTCGCCAAAAGATCGACCACCATCTCTGTCGCCAAAAGATCGACCACCATCCCTATCTCCATATCGATCACCGAATCTTCCCCCATCACGGCCACTAAATCCACGACCACCATCACGATCACCTCCACGGTCAAAAGCTGGACGTTCTAAAATCAAAAGGATGATGGATGCATTTAAAGAAGCAACTTTGCAAACACGATTTGGTTTGTTGTTTAACACCGCACTCAGCAATATTCCAGCTATATGGCGGCAGTCTGTAAATAATGGAGTCTGGACCAGACAACCCAGTGATCGATAGCATGAGCATCGATCTACACAGTTACAATACGAAGACATGAGTCAACCAAGTCAGCGAGCCTGTACACCTGATCCCGTTAGTCGCCTGGGTTACTGAACACCAATTCAAACCCAGATGTTTATTTTGCAAACACGAAAAGGATGCTAGACTTCGTGCCTCATTGGCTACAAGCATAGTCACCTTCACAACAATCATGGATCTATGATGGCCAGTTCTATCCCATTTCTTCAAAGGTGTCCAGGACAAGACAGCTGGTACTGTATGTCTTCATGTTTTCCTTACATGATAGTAACCAACCACACCACAATTTCTGATGTCATTCCACTTTCAACACAGTTTGTTAACATACAAATACCCAATTTTAAACACTAACGTTAAACAAGGTGAGGTGACATTGGGTTTAACGTCGTGCTTGAGAATATTTCGCTCAAATGACGACGTGCATGCGTGTGTATGTGTATGTGCGGCTGCTTGTACTAGCCCAGACTTAAGCTGATTTTATAGTGCTAGCCCACTGAGATACCATGCCGCAGTGAAGCATGAATACCCCACTCAGACACATTATACTGACTCCGAGCCGACCAGTCCTTGTTGTACCCATTAATGCCGGGCGCCAGGCAGGGACCAACAAGTACCATATTTTAACGTCTTTTGGTATGACGCGGTCGGGGATCGAACCCGCGACCTTCCGCTCTCCAGGCGGACGCTTTAACCACTATACCACGGAGGCTGTCAACATTAAACAAGATCTTTTCACTCGTTTTGAATTTCCTGGAAGGCAGTACACCATAATCTAGTCAGTAAAGCATATACTCAAAACAGAAATTTCTGTATGGCATAGTAATACTTACCAGGAGCACTGCCTGGCTCTCTCCTCCTCCAATTGGAATCAGTGCGGTCAGGTTCGTCAGCTGATCGGCGATAATCAGAGCCACCCATTCCTCCTCCACGATCATTTCCTGTGCAAGCAGCATCATATTATGGATGTGAGTGAGTGAGTGAGAGAGCTTAGTTTTACGCCACATTAGCAATAATCCAGCAATATCACTGCATTGGACACCGAAATGGGCTTCACACTTGTACCCATGTGAGGAATCGAACGCGTCAACCCGTGATGAGCGGACACTTAAACCACAAGCCAATCCAAGTACCCCTATTATGGATGTACATTGAGGACAACAGTTAACTTGATGCCTACTTCTTCTTCATACAAACATGTGACTCTCTATATAGTATATTATATGGGTTAGTCAGGTTCTACTACAATTTAGCACCCCAACTGACTGACTGACTGAGTTTGGTTTTACGCCGCTTTTAGCAATATTCCAGCAACATCACGGCGGGGGACACCAGAAATGGGCTTCACACATTGTACCCATGTGGGGATTCGAACCCGGGTCTTCGGCGCCGTGATGAGCCAACGCTTTAACCACTAGGCTACCCCACTGCCCCCCAATAAACCTGCAATATCACAATGGGGCAAACCAGACATGGGCTTCACACTTCCGACCCACAAGGGGACTCGAACCCAGGTCTCAAACGTGATGTATGATGCCTTAACCACTTGGCTACCCCACTGCCCCATATCATATGGGGTTTAACATCAACATTTTGTTTAACCAGCAAATGTGCATGTCTGTGTCTGCTTGCATAAGTCATGTTTGCCTGCCAGTTCATAATGCTGAATCATGGTGAGTGGGTGAGTTTAGATTTACGTCGCTTTTAGCAATTTCCCAGCAATATCACGACAGGGGACACCAGAAATGGGCTTCACACATTGTACCCATGTGGTGAATCGAACGCAGGTCTTTGGCGAGATGAGCTTTAACCACTAGGCTACCCCACAACCCCTGCTGAAACATGGACAAAACATCCTGGTGATGTAAGAAGCATTATCGACTGTCGACAAAGCATACCTTGTTGGTTCTGTCCAGCCAAGTCAACACGGATTTTCCTCCCTGCGAATACCTGTGTTTGAACAGAAAACAATAAAATCAGTTTCACACACCCTATGTCTCTACAAACACCGGTGATCACCGATTTTCAGAGATTTACTGATTGACATAATTTTGCTTTTCACGCCAAACAATTTCCACGGATAATCAAGACTGGTTAATTGCTGGCATTGCTGTTATATATTTACATAGCCACAATTCTTTCCAGTTTCAAATTTGCGCATGAATCAGGGTTTTACACGACAGTAAAACCAGTAAGCACAAATGTAGAGAAAGAACACAGAAAACAATTCATTGCGTCCTGTGGGACGTACAATATTATTCATTGTACCGACAACACATCTATGACTTTGCTAAGTGTTTGGTTGTTTCTTTCAAAGCAGTTACGAGCATCATTTCACCCATCAGCTTATATGATCAATAGTTCATTCCAGGCTCTAAAGAAATTATTGAAACATACAGTTCTCTACACCATTACTTCAAAAGACCCTCATATTGCCTGCAAGGACCGTTAAAACTAGGAGCCCATATCTGTGAGTCAAGGTAAAACCCTGCATGAAGAATCAAGACCATAAAACTGTCAAAAGATATATGCAGGAGTTCTTGGAGGCTGATGATCAGTTCCATGACAAAAATCGGTAAAACATTTTGAAGAACTAGTTTGGTAATTTAAACTCACACAATCACTATGGACACTACAATAAAGCATGGCCGATTTTTATTCAAATCTAGACGAATAGTGCAATCTTTATTTTACTTTTCAGAGTTTGTTGCTGTCCTGCTTGAATGAGATAAACCGAGTGCCAAGTTTACTTGTCCTCAACAGAAAATAGTTGTCCCTGACCAGTGGACTAGGATGAATTTTGAAGACTGAAAATTCACTGCAACAGTAACAGCCTTTTCAAAGAACGAACATAGAGCAGAAGAGCAGGATGTCAACAGCACTTACCGAGTCATTTAATGTAAGTGCATCAATAAGAGATTCACGATCTTCAAATTCCACATAACCAAATCCTCGTAGACGTCCCTGATCAGTGGGCAGCCGCACGTTTGCCACCTAAAACAGTGTACAATGTAAGTAGTAAGAAACAACAAAATACAACTCCATAGCATTTGCCAATCAAAAATTAGGGACG